TAGATTTAAAAGATGCATTCTTCAGCATAGCCTTGGCACCCGTTAGCCAGCCAATTTTTGCCTTTGAATGGCAAGAAGAGGGGCCCTCAGGAACCCCCAAACAGCTCACATGGACAAGACTCCCGCAGGGGTTCAAGAGCTCCCCAACTCTGTTTAATAAGGCCTTGAATCAGGACTTGTGTTCTTTCCGACAAAGTCATGGCTCCGTGACTCTCTTACAGTATGTTGATGACCTTCTCTTAGCTGCTCCTTCTGAAGCGGAATGTAAAAGAGCTACAGAGGACCTTTTGCAGGAATTGGGCTCACTGGGCTATCGTGCCAGTGCCAAAAAGGCCCACATTTGTAAACAAACTGTTACTTACTTGGGGTATAAGCTCCATAAGGGAACAAGATGGCTGACAGAGGCCATGAAAGAGACTATTTTGAGATTGCCAGTCCCTACAACAGCCAGGGAAATTCGAGAGTTCTTGGGCACTGTGGGCTACTGTCGGCTCTGGATACGGGGTTTTGCAGAATTAGCTAAACTCTTGTATGAGGCCACAAAAGACAAAATGCCCTTTACTTGGGGACCTGAACAACAACTTGCTTTTGAAAGACTCAGGGCTTCTCTATTGGAAGCTCCGGCATTAGCCTTGCCGGACCCCCTTAAGCCCTTTACTCTCCACGTAGCCGAAAAAGGGGGAATTGCAAAAGGGGTGCTCATGCAGCATCTAGGGCCATGGAAACACCCAGTGGCCTACTTGTCAAAGAGACTGGATCCTGTAGCAGCTGGGTGGCCCCCATGCTTGCGCATTATAGCGGCTGCGGCAATGCTGGTCAGAGACGCTAACAAGCTGACATTCGGACAACACCTTAAAGTGATAACTCCCCATGCTATTGAGGGTATTCTCAAACACCCACCAGGGCGATGGATGTCCAATGCGCAAATGACCCACTATCAAGGACTGCTCCTAGATACCCCGCGAGTTACTTTTTCAGAGCCCACCTCCTTGAATTTGGCCACACTGTTGCCTAACCCAGAGCTGGACAAGCCGGTGCATAATTGCCAAGAAATTCTAGCAGAAATCTTCCACGTACGTCCTGATCTCCAAGACTCAGCCCTGCCGAACAGCAAGGTAATCTGGTACACTGATGGGAGTAGCTTATGCAGGACGGAGTACTAAGGCTGGGGCAGCTATAGTGGACCAGAGCGGGAACTTAGTTTGGAGCACTTCCCTGCCAGCGGGAACCTCCGCCCAGAAAGCTGAACTCATTGCACTGGCAGAAGCACTTGAACGGGCGGAAGGGAAACGTGCTACTATTTACACTGATAGCAGGTATGCCTTTGGGACTGTTCATATCCATGGGGCAATTTACCGGGAGAGGGGCTTTATCACCGCAGATGGAGGAAAGGTGTGCAATCTTCCCGAAATCCAGCGGCTGTTGGCAACGGTACAAAAACCCCAAGCAATAGCCATAATGCACATTCCAGGCCACCAAACTGCCAGGACCCCTGAGGCTATTGGCAATAAACAAGCCGATGAGGCAACAAAACAAACAGCCATTAAATCTGTACT